TTTAAAATTTCTGAAAATTTTTATCTTGGAGGATAAATAATATTTGACACCAGAACAGTGTTGACATGTGCATGACAACACAAAATGATTTTTATACAGCCTTCATTTTCAACTCTTTAATAATCTGAATGTACTGTATGTATATTGTAGATAAATAATGACTTTATTACTTTCCCAGGGAAAGGATTTTTAAAAATTCACAGAAAGTGGAATTTTTCAGCATATACTTACGTTCTTCTATGAGCCACGTTCTCCAAGGCTTCAGAGCTTCGCAGTGAAAACTGTGGTCTTCTTGCTACACCTGTTGCTTCTCACCAACTCCCTACTGAGCAGCCAGCACTTAGGAGCCAAAGGAAACGGTTGAAAGTCTTATCAAGCTCGGCAACCCTCAACCATTGCTGTAGTGACAGTGATACAGGACGAGCGACAGGAAGAGGCTTGTCTGCCTACGGAATTTGATGAATATCTAAATTATTTCTGTTTAAGTTATAGACTTATTCTTAATTTATAGAATCAAAGTTCTTATCTGAAATCCTTGTTCACACATTCATTCCCACCGTTTTTCACTGTCTCCACGTATCTTGTATATGCTTTTATATAAACACAGTAAAAACTGTAGAATTTTCTCAGTAGCAGGCTAATCCATTAGCAATAGGAAATATAGTAAGAGTCAAACTTTACATAGTAAAAGAATTGTTCATTGCTTTAGATGAAAAATGAAAGTATTATCACCAGATTGTGAGATGTGCGGAAACTCCACAGTCAGTTAAGGAGAGAAGACGGGAAGCATCATCTTTGTGAAAGGTGTAGCCAGATCATTAGATGATTATTATTATTTTTTTGCTATTATTATTATTATTATTATTTAGGAGTTAACAGAAAAGGTAGTTAGTTCTTTCTCAGTCTCACCTTCCTCTTGGTGTGATTTTTTTCTGTTTGGTGTGATTTTCCTGTTGATTCGTATGTAAGTCAACTACACGTGAATAGATGAATGTGCTACATTTACAAAATCAGAAGAGATTGGAGATCCTTTAGAATGTGTCTATAGCCGAGCACAGGAAAAGTTCCCGAAGATCCCACACCACTTGCTCCCTCAGCTTTTCCTCCCCTCAGCTGGTTTGGCAGTGACTGGGTACTCGGGAGGATCTGAATTTACTTTTGGATGACTGAGATATCTAATTAATCTGGTGGAAGCTTCTCATGTACTGCTAACAAGCCATGGAAGGGAGGGGGGTGGAATACTTCAGAAAATTATAATATCTTGTATGGGAAATTTTTCTAAGATTCCAATATTAATGTAGAATAGTGTTAACAGTTCTTAACAGAAAGCTCTTAGAATTAAGAAATAGTAGAAGGTCTGTTTAGTTGGTCTGGATAGATAGTCATGCTAATTGTGGGTTCAGACTAGGGTTTTCTGGTCTGAAAGAGACATTTTGTCTGGTTTTGCTGCAGAATTGGGAGTGGCACTGTCCTGTAGCGGGAACAACAGGAGCCCTGGAGCCCATGGCCTGGGTTCTGGTCTGGAGGCCACCTACCTTGGGCAAGCAGTTTGATTTTTCTGAGCCTCAGCTTTCTATATCTGTAGGTTGGAGAAGAAAATAGTACTTGTCCCATATGGTTGTTGTAAGGATTCAATGAGTTACTAGGTATAAAGGATTCTGCACAGTATGGGCACGTAATAAGCAGTCAATAAATGTAAACCATTATTATTATTGTTATCATTAATTGCATTTTTGTACCTTGTTCATACACCCCAGGAAAACTGAAGACTCTTTTCTTCAGAATCACCTGGATAGCCTGTGCATGAGTACAATTGCAGTAAACCCAGCATCAAACATAGTTTTGTTAATAATTTTTTCAGCTGCCACATCTTAAGATCAAGACCCAATGTGTTTACTTTGGATAAAATGCAATCTGATCTACTTCAAGAGTTTTATGGTAGATGGTTAGTTCATTTATCAGACTGTTTAAATTGACATTTTGAAAATCTGGGATGAATATCAAAATTTCTAACAACGTTCCTTAAGAATCAAAGTCTTATTTGATACCTACCATGAACTTTGGCCAGATTAATTTTGTTCTGATGTTCAGATTTGCAGGTGTCGGCTGAGAGTCATGGCAAGGACATCTACCTGAAATCATGTTCATTTGGAGAGAGCTGGCAGTATTGAAGGTAACTTTTATTGAAATTAGAAAATGTTTGCATCTTCTTGTTAAAACAAATTATCCAAAATAATTAATTTATCATATGTAAAATGGGGATAAAATATAATTTTTAATCATCTAAGGTGGTTGATGTGTTAATAAAAAGAAGATGTTACTGTTTACCCATGGGAATAAAATCCTCTGTCTTGAGCTCAGTAATGGGGAAAAGCAATTTCTGGCTCTTGCTTGACTTTTTTTTCAATAACTTGGACTAAAATAAAATGCATTGGTAATAATGAAATAATGCTGTGATTCTAATTTTGCTTTCAGTGAACAATGTAAATGTGTTCTAACAAGTTAAAAACGTCTTATGATTCAGGAAATGCTACCACTTTGGCTTTTAAGAATTGGTCTGTTTTTGTTGTTGTTGTTGTTGATAGGATTAGAAAGAACAACATGATGGAAATATCTTTGTCCTGATAAGAACTCTGGGGATAGAGAGGACTTAAATAGGGGAAAAGTAAGGCCTATTCTAATTGTTAATGAAGTATGCCCTTTAGTCTGGTTTTCTGTGTTCTAAGCTAAGTTAAGCTACCAGCTGGATTGGCAAAGTGCATGAGAGTTTACTGGCTTGGGAGATAAGGGGGAGTCTTGCTCTTGTTGACTTGAGTGAGTGGGTCACTGGACATCTGTATTTCTGCCTAGGGATTTCTGCCCAGGTTCATGAAGGAGGGTGAGCTTTCTGATTGTTAGTTAGCTTGCCTATGGGGCAGGCTGCCGACCATCTGGCCATCTGAAGATGCTCCTTGGTTTGTTCTGAGGTGGGTATTCTCCCCATGCCTTGCAGAAAGAGGGAAGCGAGGCCCACCAGGGAGACACAAGGCTGTGTCCTATAAAGCCAGAAGGGGAAATTTCGTAAAGTGTGAATGTGCTGGCTCGGATCCCCCTGTCCCTGTGCCTACTCCGTGCACTCATGGAGAACCATCATGTCATGTTCCGGATGCGAGATCTCCTGATTGAGTATCAAGACTTATCCAAGAGAAAAATACCCATGTCTTGGGACTGTAGACAGATGGTTGTGACTATGCGTAATGCAGTCACTTAACTCTCTCCTCGTTGAGTATGCAGTCATCTTCACAGCCGGTTGTGAAATGCTCAAATTGTTCATTACGGTGGATAAGACGAGTGCATTGCCCAAGCCGTGAGCAGGTGCTTCCAGCTTTATAGACACTCACATAACAAGAGATGTACCAGGGACCCCAAATGGCCCATCAAAAATGTGAACTTGCATTAAGGCAAGACCCAGCATCAGCAACATTAGACACAACATAGAAATCAGAGAAAAGCTACTGTCCAGCAGTTTTAACCACCAATACCCATTTATTTTAATGGAAAAAAAATCTCTGCATTCTATATGCTCCAAAAAGATTTACTATTGAAACAAATACAATATATGGAACTCTATCTGCATAATTTCACTACAATAAAGACAACATATGACTTCTATTTCCTACAGAAGGCAAACTGAAAAGCACAGGTGCAAACATAGATTGCATAAGAAAGCGTGTGTGCGCGTGTGCGCATGTGTGTGCGTGTGGTTAAAACTTTTAGTAAGCAGCTGCATTAAAATATGCTAAGACACTTACCTTACCCTAGTGCGTGGCGAGCTCTAATAAAAAGCCACAGGCTGTCACTAGTTTTATCTGATAGAAAAATTTGGTGTGAGCTTTGATGGTTCATTTACAGTTTATCAACAAGAAGATAATCTTAGTACAAGCACTAACTTTCCTCTTACTGTTACATGCTCACAGAATAAAAATCAATTACTTTTCATACATAATGAACATCTTTTATTTTCAGGTTTGCAAACAACGGTAGTCAATTCACACAAAAGGGTACTTTTAAAACTACCTGTATTTACTCTATTTTATGCATGTATATATGAAACAAACGGTGTGTATGTGCATAAATGTGTGTCTATACATGTGGGCATATATGTGTATACACATGGTACCTGCTGACCTCTTCATATGCATGAGTCACCTCCATGATGACATTTGCAATTGTGCATACACCGAGAGGGAGCGGTTCTCTACCATGATCTGTGTCCCCATGAGAACCAATGGGACTGTGGATTCGGGACACATACAAATGCGGATAGATGCCCACGAAAGAATATTTCAGCCCTTTTCTCCGCATTTGATGCTCAACTTTCCTGCTCTGCTCCTCACCACTTTTGCTCAGGATCATGGCTAAGATGGCAGTGAAAATTGGTTGTAGTTCTCACACTAAAGAGAAAGGACTTCTATCTCTGCTCTCGCTCTCTGCGGACCTGGCTGGCTGGCCGTGGCAGTGTTCGGACTGAACGGGATGGTGAAGTGTCAGCTCTGTGGGCTGTGCTAGTGTTGAGCTTGATACTGAGGCCCTGAGGGGTCAGCTGCCATAGCTTCTAACCCTTCTTTGTGTAACCTCTCAAGGAAGAATGACATATCAAAATTAGGCTTCCCTATAGTCTCTTTCTATAAATACTGTGTATATACACATACAGATACTCATACATATACAAATACGAACCCACAGACAAAGCTGTATGTGTGGAGCGCTGACTAGCAACGTGGCGACACATCAGAAAAAGTAGTCATTGTTTCTGCTCCCGGAAGGTCAAGTTATATGCCATGATCTTAAAACATTCAGGGAAAAGTCAGAGGATTCCATTAATTAAAGGAGAAAGGAAGATGCTGTCAAAATGGTGAAGTACAGACTAGGTGAAACTGCAAAGAAAACGACAATCTGAACAATTGAGGCCTAGTTGTGAAGTTCGAGAGCTGTAAACTGCAATCTTCAGATTTGGATTCTTTTCTTTTTCCTGTTGCTATGGAAACTTGGTAGTCAAGCTTCAGACGTCAGGAGTTCTCACAGACCTGAATGGAAAAGAGTCAGAGTTAAGTTAAGGAATATCACAACTCGATTCAAAACATTTTAGCTAAATACTAGATAAATGACTGACAGGCTGTAATAAACACATTTATAAACACTGCACTACCTTGGGGAATATATTTTTTTTCTTAAGTGCAACATTTGAAGAGAGAATGAATAGTTCCGCTGCTGTATGTCTTAAAAGGCTGGACCGCTTTGAAAATGCTAATGCCAAACATCTCATCTCAGACCACCAGCAGCTATTACCTCTGCTACCATTGAGCCCTGTCTCTTGCACATTGGCCCAGTGCTGGGCTATTTTATGAACAAGTTGGCTTGGTAGCTTAGAGATAGATGAGCATCCCAGATACTTTTTCGGTTACAGAGGAGAGCAAGATAGCTATTGGCGATTCTTCAGATATGGCATATGAGCTTCCTATGGCTGCATAACAAATGACCACACACTTAATGGCTTAAAACATCACAGATTTAATCTCTTACAGTTCTGGAGGTCAGAAGTCTAAAATGAGTCTTATGGGGCTAAAATCAAGGTGTGGGCAGGGCAGAGCTGTGTTCCTTTTGGAGGCTCTCGGAGAGAAGCCGCTTCCTTGCCTTTTCCAGCTTCCAGCTGCCTATATTTGGCTCGTGGCTGCTTCCTCCATCTTCATGGCCTGAACCGTCTTGTCAAAGGTTACTGAGGTCGCCCAAACTGCAGCTAAAGCTGACACCAGCCAGGGGTCTTCCACTTTGCCTGATAACAGTATGCACGGAAATAGCTTGGTTCTCTGCCATTTTTGCTTAATTATTATTACATCTTGGATTTGTAGAGGGAAATGGTACCACCAAAACTCATGTTACAATCAGAGAAATGAAAATGTGTAAAGGTCAACCCATAATGTAAGTGCAGTTCATTCTGGAGTGAACTGATGACTAGAATATCACGGGTGACTCTGTAACTCTTGGGCCTTTTCATGTAAAGCCTGTTGAGGGCTGGATCGGTGTGTACAGCTCGCCCACCTACTCAGCAGCCCATTGCTTTTAGAGGTTAAACCTGTCATTTATCTGGAAAATTTAAAGCAGCTTCTCTAAGTTCCAGATACAAAGTTTTTGTAATGTGACTCAAGTATAGACAAGATGATATCAAGAAGGTTAAAGGTAAAAGCCATTTTAACAGAAAGGGCCATGGAAATTAATACGCCAATTCAGGTGCAATTTGTGGTTGTTTTCTTCTACACCCAGGAACCTTTATATTGTTTGACAAGTGAATGCCTTTATGGCTAGAAGTCTTCTCAACTCATTTAATTTTTTTTTTTCTGTTGAATATCTCATGGCTCTTCCTAGCACTGCCTTAAACTCTGGTTACTTGGGCTGCAGTAAATTGTATCCCTCAGATTCACCCATATTTGAAGAAAGACTTGAGACGAACATACTAAATGGCATTACTAATTTTATTTAAAAATATTTTCCAGTGTGGTACCAATGACTTAAAATAATAATTTTGGTCATGGAGAAAAATAGAAAAAATTTTTGGCTGAATAAAACCCACTAAATTAGAAAGTCTCCAATCTCTGTATAAGTCGAGTTAGACTATAACGTAAACGATCCTGCCTCCTAGGGCTGTTGGGTTGATTACACAAGATAGTCTATGTAATTTATGTAAAGCTCTTAGCTTGGCATGTGTATGGCACATAGAAAGCCCTCAGAGGTCAACTATCATGGTCCATGAAGTTGTACAACTTAAGGGATCACAGCTCCTCTGCAAAGCATGACTTGGGGCCATCTGCAGGCAGAGGACAGCCTGCTGTACCCGGGTCTGGTGCTTCTCCAGGCCCTGTCTCTGCCCATAACACATTTCACAATAAAAAGGAATACAATATTGATACACTTAACGACATGGACTGTATGATTCCATTTATAGAAAATTCTAGAAAAGGCAAGAAAGTAAAAGGCAAGAAACAGAGAAGGCAGATTAATGGAGGTCTGGATTGTGGGGAGGAGATCAATAGCAAAGGCGTACAAGGAAACTGTATCTGATTGTGGCGTGGCTACACAATTGTGCACAGTTACCAACATTTATCAAACTGTACATTTAAAATGGCTGAATTTTGGAATGCAAATAACACCTTAATAAAAAGCATTAGAATTAAAAGTATTTTCAGTGGCTGTTTTTTGCTCATTTCAGTCACCTCTTTAAAATTCTTTGTTGTGATGGAGGTTACAATTCAATGCTCCCTTCTTCCCAATGTAGAGACATTTAGTTTTGGTACTCGTTAATATGGTTCACCTGATCTGTCCTTTTATATTCTTGCTATTGTTGATTAATTCAGCCTAAAACAATGTTCAGAAAGATTTCAGGACAATAGTCTTCCTCAAACTTGCCTGTGTCACATCACACAGAGCCCTACAAAAAAACCCACAGACACAGCCTAATGGAGACGCCAGCTCACTTCATTGGGAGGGTCCTAAGAGTAGAATTATGCATCTCAATGTCATCAACATGTAATTTAAACAACAAAATTGGCACTAAAAATAATTTCCTTTACATTTTTTATTACTTTCAATGTCATTAGTTTTATTTCCTTTATTTTTAAAGATTTTATTTATTTATTTTTTCCCCCAAAGCCACAGCAGATAGTTGCATGTCATAGCTGCACATCCCTCCAGTTGCTGCATGTGGGACGCGGCCCCAGCATGGCCGGAGAAGCGGTGCGTCGGTGCACGCCCGGGATCCAAACCCGGGCCGCCAGCAGCGGAGCGCGTACACTTAACCGCTAAGCCACCGGGCCGGCCCTATTTCCTTTATTTTTAGATGTCAAAGAAGGACGTGCAGATCTCTCAGTTCAATTCTCAGTTGCAATAAAGCCATCTACAGTATCTTAATAAACTGCAATGTTTTTATTGTCTTCTTCCATAAGGGAGGCTGTCTAATGGTGAACGCTGGCCTTACTGCTTGCTCACCTGGGACCTTTCTGAACATCAGTTTTCTCATCTATAAAGTGGGATAAAATCATGAGGCCAGGAAGAAAATAGAGAGAAAAACCGTGGAACATCAGAATGTTTGGTTAATGCTAGTCTACGTGGATCTGAATATTATTTAAGGGGAGGAGAAAAGCCCATTTTTTCTTCCCATGTTGTGTGACGTGATCACTGCAGTTTTATGAAAAATGCTTTAAAGAAGGCATTGTCACACTTTTTTTGTAAAGGGCCAGATAGTAAATATTTCTGCCTTTGCAGGCCATACGGTCTCCTGGCCACTACTCAACTCTGCTGTTGTAGCAGAAAGCAGCCGCAGACAATACGTAAATGAACAGACATGGCTGTGTTCCAATAAAACTTTATTTACAAACACAGGAAGTGGGCCGCATTTGGCCCTTGGACTGTAGTTTGCCAACTCCTGATTTAAAGAAACAGCAAACAGATCCTACCAGATCCCAAAATTCTTTCAAGACGTATGGCTGAGTAGAGAAGTTATGCAAGTTAAACCCTTGCACTTTATAATCTAGTTTCAGTGCTTGTAGACAACCCCGCCCCAACCTTACTTGATGGTTTAGGCCCGTTTCTGCGCAGTCTCTTGTCAATGTCATGTTAGTAGCGGTACAGATGGGTCTGCACTTTGACTCTGCTCTTGTGAGAGAGTGCCTGAGCTGTAGGAGACCCATGGTTACTTATTCCCGCCAGCTCCAACCTAGTTTCTCACATGTCTTGTTAGATACAGCCCTCTTTTGTTAGGGAGAACATCTTGGGCTGGGTATATAACAAAACAAGAATCATTATATTTGTCAGGCATCTTAATGTTCAAATGAACAATATTAAATAATCTTATGCCTTTTATATAGAGCCAGACTGAGGTTGTTTTTGAAGTCAAACAGGTGAGTGGTAACACCTGTTCTTAACTGTTTTTTTGGCTGAAACTACCTGTCTTGTGGTGCACAACATTGGAGGGTCAACCAAGTACCTTTCCGCCTGTGTGGGGAGATTCAGAGCTCCTTTTTGAGGATGATTGTGGCTTTCCCTACAGGTGCCCTTACCTACGGCGGGATAACTGTGTGGTGCCAGATTGACGGCCTTCCATTTAGGTGAGAACAAAAAGCACATCTGATATCTCAGACATGAATATGTGCATCCATCTTTTCTCAATGAAGCAATTTTGAGTATAAAGCGAACACGAGTTCTTTAGGCGTCAGCAGACAATTCTGCCGTGGACTAACTGTGATCCAAGAGCTCTGCTGAGAGAGAGGAGAAGTGGTCCATCTTCCGGAACCTGCACATTATTGATATCTGTAGGCCCTGGGTCTCACAGTAGGGGGCACAAGAAAACCCCTTGTTGGTGAGAAGGGAATACTGCCACACCTATTTGTATTCCTTTTAATCTAAACAAACAGATTGTCTTACTAATATTTAATATATGGACTGGTAGTAGCAGACGTGTGTATTATTATATAAAATATTGTGTAAAAATATAAAAACACTGGATCTGTGTGCTGGAGGCCACTGTCACCTGGGGTGTTGGTTCCACAGGTTGGATGGGCCTGGGAATCTGTATTTCAACAGGCAGCGGTAGGAAGTCTCACGGGCATCTAGAGTAGCTGATAGGTGGGCAGCGTCCTGCAGTGCCCTGATTCTTCAAAGGAATGTCATCCAGAGTCAGACTTTGATGTTGTGTAGTTGGGTTTATCCAGGGCGATGTGTGAGTGGCCACTCAATTATCTTCTCTCTCTCTGAGTACGCACACTTGTGCACACACACACATGCACACACAAGTTTGTGCACGCACACACAACGCATGCAACACATGTGCACACATAACACATGCATGGTTGGACATACGCACACACAGCATTTTTATTTCTTGACAGTCACACAGGAAGTACGGCCCTCTAGTTTATCTAAACTTTGTGAGTTCCAATTGCTCCTAGAACCCAGACCCAATGCTGGGCTCACCATCTGTCTAGTGCTCACTTGAGAAGCTGGTGGAAAACAGATTCCAGATGTTTACTGCAATAGAGTTGGTCATAGCAAGACATCGTAAATCATCCTAATGCATCTGTAAATAGAGGAATACCCTGCCTCATGTTCATACTCTCTAGCAGTTAAAATGAATGAACTAGCACAGGGGTGCACTGGTTGGTGGGCCATAGTGTGCTTATATGGCTCTTGAGCTAAGAATGGTTTTCACACTTTTAAAAAGTGGTAAAAAACAAAAGACAGAAACAAAAAAGCACTAAACAATAGTATGTGACGGAGACCTGACGTGGGCCACAGAGCCCAAAATATTTGCTTCCTGGCCATTTACAGGAGAAGTTTGCTGGCCCCCGAACTAGAACAACACAGATGAATCTTGGAAATGTAATGTGGAGAGGAAGAAAAGCAAGTTGCAGGACCTCATGCTCAATATAATACAAATCACATGGAGTTTTACAAACTGCACAAAATAGAACGATACTGGGTGTGTGTGTGTGCGTTGTGAAAGTATAAAACAACATCTGGACACACTCTAACTCATGAGAGCGAGTGTCTCTGGGGAGAGAGAACAGGAAATGAAACCAAGGAGATGAACATAGGGGATTTCACCTTTACTTATAATATTTTATTTCTTGAAGAAAAGGAAGGAAGAAGAAAGTAAAAAAGGAAGAAGCAAATAATACAAGAATGAGAGAGAGGAATATATATTTCCATCCATCCATCTGTCCATCCATCCATCCATCCATCCAACCATCCAATCATCCAATGAGGCACTGTAAGGTCTTCTGCTCCTTAGCTCTACCCACAGGACGCTGGCCCAGCACAGAGCTTTACACATATAAACGTCCGATGTTGAGATGTGTGATTTCCTGTTGACCCCACTTACCACTGTCACGAGGATGTAATAACTTCTGTTCTTTTTTTCTGATCGTTATTTATTTTTCAACTTCCTAATTCACAATCACACTAATAACTTTCTCAAAATATAAATACCAAGGCCCAAAAGGCTTTTAAATTGTATTACCTACATATGAATAACTGCTGAGGTTAAAACTGGACTAGTATTCTCTAAGTAGGAAATATTTGGTACACATATCTATTCATTTTATGCTCATATCTATATTACACAGCATAATAATTCACTTGTTTAAGATAATGCTTCATTGTTTTATAGTCATTACTATCAGTGAAAAAAATGTGTGAATTATGTGTTTATCTCTTTTCCTATGGCCCAACCTCCATCCATGAATTCTCATGATTGTTCTTAAAAAGGTATAGTATCTACTCTAACCTTTCAAAGATTATTCTGCACAAGGCAGAGAGCAATAGGGCCCTAGTAGACCAGTTAACTAATTTGGGTGCATTTTTGTTAGCTCAAGTTCAGCGGCATCTGCAGGAAGTGTTCTCATCACCTGGTCTGTAGGACACGAGTGCCTTTGCACAGTTCCTTACATTGATTGGCACAGGGATGTTAAGATCCCTTTAAACATTAGCTGGAGCACTTTTACCTGTAATACTATCTATTATAGACACAAACTAAACGGAAAGTTTCCTCTGAGATCAATTATTTTGGAAAGATATATGAAAAAAGTGGCTTCCGTGAAGTTACGTTCTCATACTTGTGCACGCACTGGAGTTAGGCCAACTTACAGGCTAAACTGAAGAGAGAGATGAGCAGGACTGAGGTCATGCTGAAGTGCAGGGCCTCTGCTGCATTGCAGTCCACTTTGGAGTTCTTGCAGGAACACACTTGTACCCTGAGGTCTGTGATGTTCGTCATGGGTGGTTTCCCTGAATCTGTCACCATAATGGGCAGGTGGTAGTTTGCTTTGTTCAGATTTTGAAGAAGGCTCACCATGGCATGCGTATCTATGAAGACAAGGAGGCTCTTCATGAGACAGTGTTAGACCTTTTCAAATAGAAGAGTGAGGCTTTGACGATTAAACCCACACAAAACAGGCATGGCGTTTTAGTTTATAACTATAGGAGTGTTTAAATTTAAATTCATTAACATCAAATAAAAATACAAATTCAGTTCCTCAGCTGCACTAGCCACATTTCCAGCGTCCAGGTGGCTACCATACTGCACAGTGCCACGTAGAATGTTTCCATCATTAAGGAGTTCTATGGCTCAGTGCTACTATAATCAGTTTCAAGGGACCCCATTTTTGTGAAGATGACTGAGTACCAAGAACTCCTCTCTGCAAATTTATTATACCAATAAAGCCATCTTCACAAAGATCACATTCAACATCTAGAAAAAATAATGTAAAAATACACTCTCAAGTCATCACATTGCATATTATAAATATACACATTTTTTAATTTGTCATTTACACTTCAATAAAGCTGGAAAAAAAGACAAAAAAGAGATTATCAGCTCAGAACATTTTTAGATAAGAATCCAAATTCAAATAATCAAAACAAATTCTTGGACAAAAAAAAAAAAAAATCCTCTCCCTATAAATGTGGGCCAGACCCTGCGTGTTGCCATGCAGATGGGTTCTACAGTCTACGTCTCCATCAGTCCTCGGCCCATATCCCTGGATTTGGGTGAGAATCCACAGCACAACCCACAGCCTGGAGATTGGATTTCATGCCCACGTTTGGTGGGAATATCTGCCGTTACCCAGCACTGGGAGCGCTCACAAGTGGCCACCCCACCTGGCCACTGTTTTTAGCTGCAGACTATTCTCTTTCCAGTCACTCAGATGACTAGAGATTTTTTTTTTATCTGCTGCTTTCTAGGTATAAACAATGCTAAGTATTCAGGAAAAAATTGGGGGCAAGGAAAAGAATTTAGAAGGCATCTTATCTATTAAATAAAACAAGGAGGGAAAAAGAGTGTGATGATATGAAAAGAAAAACAGATGAAGTATTATCCTAACCAGAAAGTGACAGCAGCAGAAATAACTGATGTAGATAATTACCCCAGTGAAATGGCAGATTAATTCAAGGAACATCCTCCCATTTCCCTCAAGTAGAGGACAAACTCTTGAATGAGCAAGTTTCAGCTGGAAAGAACTTGTGATGATTATTCAAATCAGCTACAGCCACAAAAACTAGCAAATAAAACACTAACCCCTCAAACAAGAGAAGGGCTGTTTTAATTAAAAATAATCAGTGTAACAGAATTCATTCTTTAAAAAGCAATAAAATAGACAAACAGGCAAATAGAATCAATAACAAGGGAAAGGCACTAATAAAATGAGATATGAGATAAGATCATAACAATACATATGAGATTTTTTAATAGAAAATTTTATGCACAATTGTACAATACATTTTCAAAACTTAATGAAATGGGTAATTCCCTCTCCCTCTCAAAAATTCTACCTGTGATGTAAGAAGAGAGAACCCTGACGGGGTCAGTCACAGGATAAGTTCATTATTGATGACAGAGTGTAGGTCTAATGTGTGAGTTCTGGTTTTTGGCTTTAGTATAAGGCAAAGTGGACTTAGTTGCAAGCTCACATTTCTATGGGGAGGAAGGTGGATATAGGGAGAATTCATAATTCGATACATACCTGTTTCAGTTTAAAATGGCAGATGATCAATGTTGGGCCAAGTTTTGAATTCTACCTGCCCAGACGGAAAGACTGGTAGAAAGGGACATTGCTTGCAAGTTTCATAAATGAAGGACAGAATGGATAGAAGACGATATCAAAGTCGAAAGTAAAAGCCAAGGATTTGAAAGAAAAGACAAGGTCATTATAAAGACTAAGTCAATTCTGAGGAGGTCTGCAGCATAAAATGGAAGACGGAGGATTAGAGGTGAAGACTTTCAAAAGATTCTTGTACTAGTGCTTCTCTCTTCTTTAGTCTGTTATGAAAGATAGCACACCATGGAAAGTCTCTCCAAAGTGCTGGTGAAAGTTAATGTAAACAGTTATCTGCGAGAGGAGAGCCAGCTGAACCAAGATATACATAGGGAGAAGCAGAGACCCCCAGCTTTTGAAGGCTGAAGACTGTGTGGGTGTACAAAGAGTGTACAGTACAAGGTGTAGAGTATACAGTGTACAGTACAGAGCGTACATTATAGAGTGTAGAGTATACAGTGTACAGTAGGGAGTGTACAGCATAGGGAGTAGAGGATATGGTACACGGTAGAGAGTGTACAGTATAGGGTGTAGAATATACAGTGTACAGTCTAGAGCATACAGTACAGTGTGTAGAATATATGGTGTACAGTAGACAGTGTACAGTATAGGGTGTAGAGTATACGGTGTACAGTAGAGAAAAGATAAGAAAGGACGCAAAAGAGAGAACTTTCACGTTTGCATTTATAAGGAACTGATGTTCAGTATGCTCACGAATTGTATTCATTTGCTGGTGGGAAAATTGTCTGTGTGAATAACTTGAAATAAACCATGTGGAAATACATGAGAGAGTAGGAGGAGGAAAAGTTTGGGAAAAGAAACCAAGCCAGGGAATCTAGGCTTCAAAGCCAGAAGAGTAACTGTAGAATGTTTAGCCGGACTTACTGTTGATCTTGGAGATCTTCCAGACTTTATCAGGAACGGTTTGTTTATGGATTTCAAATTTGAAAGGATCTGTATTTGGGTGAAGATCCTTATCTGATGCTCCCAAAATGACTACACTGAGGTTCTTGGCATCATCACAGACTTCAGCGACTGTGGGGTAAATGAAGGGAGCGTTGTCGTTCACGTCTTCCAGGGTGATCAGCAGAGTTCCTGTACCAGTAGCAGGAGGGTTGCCTGCGGGGAAAAGGAAGATGTTAGCACCAGCTGGTATAATGCCAGAATGATTTGCCATAGTTCTCTTTCCCAATGTGCCAGGCACCGTTATTATTATTAACAGTGGTTTCAAACGGGACTAATAGTAATAGCTTACATAGTTGTATAAAGTTTAGTGGTTTACAAGGCCTTTTATCATATATAAGACTTGATTTAAGTTCTTCAGTTTTTACCTTTAGAATGCTAAGCTCCCTAATATACAAGTCATACTAACACATTGAAAGTTACTCAAAGAATGGAGATAACAAATAGGACTTTTCCTTGCTTACCAAATTAAACCTTTTATCTGAAAATCCAAGTATTCATATATGTTGGTGGTATAGGGAGGATGGAGATTGCATGAGAGAAGATGATGTTTTATATGGAAAAGCCCTCACTGCCTGGGTAGTTGATTGAAGAGAGAAAGCTCTAATCCAGGGTTTTCTTTTGCCAGTGAAAAAGGGTCTGGCATGGCTGATGGTGCCACTGAGGGCCTGTCCAGCTGGCCTGGCAGCACAGGACAGATTTAGAAAGGCGGGTTACTTATGAGAAACAGAATCACTAGCTGGCTACTAGGGCAGCTGAAGCAATCATAATATAATCTTTGGGCCTCATTAACAAAAAATATTTATTTATTTATTTATCTATTTATTTATTTATCTATTTATTTACTCCCCAAGCCTCAGTACACAGTTGTATACTCTAGTTGCAGGTCCTTCTAGTTCTTCTACGTGAGCTGCCACTGCAGCATGACTACTGACAGACATGGGCCTCGTTTTTAAAGCCTTGCTTTTTCAGTATTTCAGTGACTTCCTGAAATGTTTTCCATTTTAGGGAATATTATTTTAAGAAGCTCTTATAATCACCTATGCAATAATGTCTTTCACTTAAAGTGTTTAATCTTAATAAGAGTCTGCGTGACTTTATTTACCTTTCTCTAAATTCACTTTTAATCATCTATGCGTTAGAGATTTGCTCTTGGGACAAACCCTTCATTAATAGTTTCTAATTTTCTGTGAGAAAAGTCAGGCCACAAATAGTAAGTGCACGGATATGCCTTATTCCACAAAGGAATGTGCTTTTAAAATTACAGTTCTCCAACTTTATGCTCTAGTTCAACCTAATGTCTGGCTCCATTTCACTTTTCCTATCCTTTGCACTTAACCAGATTTCTAAGCTTAACTTTGTTTTATCTCAACTATGTTTATTTTTTGAAATGTGCATGGAGTTTAAAGCTAAGGTACAAATCACGTGGGGTTGGAAGGGTGGTGGATAGCTGAGCTCAGAGCACAGGTGTTGAGAGCAAGGCAAGGCCTGACAGGTTCTGTTGGTAAAGAAACGAGTCCTTGTTAGATTCAGGTAATTTATTACTTATATAGACAGTGAAATGATGAATAGGCAAAGGTGGCTCTTGGGCAGGTGACACCAAAACAAAAGGGGCCAGGTGACTGCAACACAAATGAAGGGACACCCTGTTGCTTCTTGGCAGTTTCATAGCCTGCGGCTGCACCCCAAGAGGGGCAGGCAGGAAGCCTCAGCCCTCATAAGAACCTGGAAGGCAATGAGAAACTGTCTTGTGACAGCCTCCCAGGAGACATGGGCACTGCAGCAGCTCCTCACAAGCCTCCCCTGCCCACAGTTCTGGAAGGATCACGAGACGTTCTGCCAAGACTCAGGTAGGCTGGGGCTCAAGCCTTCCCTCCTGGCCCACATGGATACGTGTAAAGTCATCAGTGCAACATCACGGGGCTGTTGCCTACTGCAGGGGGCACAGAAGGATGGCAAGGTGGTGAGGCTGGAGGTATCGGGTAGGGCCTGGGGGCCTTGACTATCACGACGAGTTGCTTGTAGTGATTCTACGGACTGCACAAAGCCACCAGAGGTTTTTCAGAAAGGCAGTGGAACAATCTGATCTGAATTATATTTAGAAACACACAACGGTATTGACAGGAGATGTCGGATGTTGGAGGCAAGGAGACCAGCATAGATTGAGTCATGATGTGGGCAGTCTGAACAGGAAAGAAATGTCTCGTCTTGAAGATCAGGCCTTTAGAGGAGGCTGCCAGAAGAAAAGCAGAAGGCAGTGGGGGGTGGAAAGACAACGAGTTCAGCTTTGATTGTGCTAATAGCCCCTCAAATTCAGTGCACCTGTGCAGAAGTGCACAGTGCTTAGGAGAAATGCCAGGGCTGAGCTAGCGACTGGGGAGTTGTCAACATAGATGCTTTTGAAACCTTTCTAGCAAATTAGGTTACCCAAGGAGAAAGTGCAGAACCACAGAGGGGTGGAGGCCTAGGAAACCCCAAAGTTTGAAGAGCAGATGATAGTTTGCAGAAGACATAGGGGAGATGAATTGGAAAATCAACAGTCAAATGTGTCATCACGCCTAAAAGGGCAGGGAATAAAGAGAAGCAATGGGTTTTGCAAGGAGAATGTTACTGGTGACTTCCGTGGGAGCGGTTTCCACTAACGAGGAAGAACCCAGCTTGCAGGAAGTTGAGCAGAGAGTCAGGAAGCCGTGAGAACAGATACTGTTTAGTGAGACTGGTGGAAATTTCAACATATCAACACCCAAAGACAGTTCCAGAGTAAACATTCAAAGAAGTATCTGCTAAAATAGGAACACAAATGTAATTAATCATCAGAAGGATGGCTATTTCTAATGGTGGCATATCATCAACTTTTGATAGAGCGAGAACTCAGAGGAAATGCATAATTACTTTGAAGTTGGTTTTTCACTGTCAGCTTTAGTAATTTGGTTGAATTTCTCTATTGAAAAATTATTTTTCTCTTTTTATCGAACTAATTGAACATCTCAGAGGAATCCATTATATTTTTTCACTCTGAATACATTGTGAAGTAAAGTCATTTGGTAGAATGGATGAGACGGCATTATAAGTATTTGAAATATGGCCGTAAGAATCGGCCTTTGGTGAACTTAATTATTCTACTGTCTTCAATTGCCCATGTGTTATTCCCAGGCAGCCTGGTGATGTTTTTTCCTGAGGTTGAGTAAAATGAGGTTTTTTTTTGGTTGATAAGGTAAAGACTGGATTCTCAAAATCCTGGGGGAAAGAGCCTTTCCGAGTTTAGATGCACAGGCTGGAGAACTTCACCACCCAGAATTCAGATGTAATTCAAAATGTAATAATTCTTCACAAGGCGTTTGGCTCCAATAGTTCTGGGGGCCCAGGAAATATTGGGGCTTCGAGGGATTTCCTTGTATTTAGCAAAAATCCCTCACCCCTGCTCTTCCCCTTTGCGTCAGCAATCCCCAGCCTCCAAGGAACAACTGCACCATCAGACATCAGAACTGAGGCCTGGTTGGGACTGCATCCTCCTTCAGGGATTTTCTATTTCAATAGGGAAAAAGCCTCAATTTGGGCAAAATACCCGGGATATGGAGCTAGAACCGTACTTCCCCTTCCTTGCAGCTCCTTCGGAGGAAGCCCACGGGTCGTGTTCTCAGAGTAGCCGCTTGAAGGACCAGAGGAAGTCCAGCCTCCGAACGTGTGGGGGGATTGCCTGTGTCTGCAGGGGCTTCTGTCTTTGTAATGTTGGGAGATAGAAGGGCCCCTGAGAGATGAACCGTTCCTGTCAGCAGGTCTTAAATTGACCGGGAGGTGGGTTCCCCTTTGGGAATCAGGTGAAGGTCACGGCCCTGCCTCCAGGGAAGTGCACCTACATTCACACGGATGGGTCCGCAGGCTCCGGAAGTGCAGCCGTGGGCTCCGTGCAAGTTCAGAGCAGCTGGTCTGGGGCACCTTTGCTTTAGGGGTGTGAGGCTGAGGCCCAGAGAGATTTAGGACAGGCTCAAATCAACTTGATGAGTCTCAGGCGTCCTCTAGAGCCAGTGTCAACCTTTACCTTCTGTGTCAGAACTTTTCTATGGAGTTTGAGTCTTACAGGCTCTCATTTCAACCATGAAAGCAAATTAATATCCCTAAGCCATGATTTGGGGTTATTAATATCATTATTTTTAATATCTTCTTTCTTATGAATTACTTTTTTTTTATTGTGGTAAAATATACATAACATTTACCATTTTAACCCCTTTTAAGTGTACAGTTCATGGCATTAAGTACATTCGTGTTGCTGTGCAACCATCACCCCATCCATCTCCAGAACTTTTTCATCCTCCCCAGCTGAAACTCTGTCCCAGTTAAACAACAACTCCCCATCTCTCCCTCCCTCCAGCTTTCAAATCTCGGTGGGTCATTCATTTTGCTTCTAACTCTCATGCTGCCAAACAATGGCAAGACCTGGGGGAAATGGTCACCACTTTCTTTCCTGTGGATCTGAATGACTGAGTCTGTTCCATCTAGAGGATTGTGACTTTAGGACCTCAGAGGTGCTGTGACTTCATGGAATTGGCACCCTGCTGGGCTCGTCCGCACAGACCACTGCTTTCTACCATTTCTGGCTGTTCAGTCCCAGTCAGCACTGACAGCTTGTAATACCTCAGCACATTGTGTGACCAAGACAGGACCAAACTGATCCCACAGCTTGATTTCGAACCCAGATAATTTGACTTGTATTTCTTCACTTTGAGTGGTGATAACTGCCCGTGAGGTGGCCGAGTTGGCAGTCTGTGCTGGGCACCAGGCCTGCTCTGATCCATACTGTCGCCAGCCTGGTTAAACCCTCCTTCTGGTTGGTCCATGTTTCACACTTGTACTTTTGTGCTCTAGGTTTAGTGGGGGCAGAGCTGTGCATTTCCTGAGAGAAGCAGGATCAGGTAACCAAGGAACAGTGAGGATTTATGTAGAGAAACTGACCGCCTGCTGTTATTCAGAGGAGGAAAAGTCCAAGCAAACCAGAGAGGTTGCTGCTTGGAGCGTCTGGGGTCCTACTTCCCAGTTTCTCCTCGTTTTCCAGAAGAGGAAGCTGGGGCTCAGAAAGATTAAGTCACTTGTCCAAGGCTAAGACTTGGTGCATCACCTGTTTGTTTGAGAGCTGTGGCCTGACGACTGGGTGTTGCCGT